ATATCTAAGTTTGTGCTTCATGTTAAAATACCAAACCTTTGATAACTCCATCTAGAAAGGGCAAGTAGATTGAAGCGGATTGACTAAACGCTTGGTCAAGGCAACATATAACTAATCTCTATTTATTATTGACAAGAGTTAAGTAGGGGAAACTAGAAGTCTGGTATGGTGTCAACAAACAAGGCACAAAGCCGTAGAGTACATACCTTTCGGTTAGCCGTTGCCGAGCCTGATTTTTTGGAATTCTTTAAACACAAAACTAGCATCAACACAGTGGTGTTTTCTTCATCCAAATTGACAATATGATTATGAATTATATTCACATTTGGAGTCCTTGTTGAACTCTGAGGATTAATCGCACCATCTCTCCAGGTCAAAGAAAATTAAGCATAGATGAACAATGCTGTTAAAAATGTCGGATTATGAAATTTGAGTATTTAGGGGCGAATTCCTAATTTTAGAAATGGATGCTTCCAGAAATCATGTGAAATTGGACTCTAAATGCCCTTACGCCTTATTTACCCCTTTCCTCAAGTTTTGCCCCTATTAGTTTGTCATACGATATTCATGATCATTCCCATAATAAAAAAGTGAAAAGTTATTCAATTTTCCATAGATAATTGCAAATGTAAAATTTGTGACGCTCACGCGTGTTTGAAATCGTTTTAACGTGCTGATTTGCTCATCACTTCGAATACCCCTTTCGTATTCTGAAATAATTTTTACGAGATCAGATTCCACTCGATTGACGATCTAAAGAAATTATTATGTTCAATGCTATTGAAGATCAAATACTTCTTTGGAGGATTGAATCAACACTGCTCCAACTATAATCCCTGAGAGGATCAAAATTAACATAACAACAGAGAACTGAAATGGAAGAATTTAAGATTCCATAAATAAATAGATTACCACAAGATTAACAGTCTGATTTCCCCTAAAAGCTCCAACACAACCAACTATTGCTGCAACAAGGAGGCAGGCGCCAATGAGGATCATGAATGCCTCCAAAGAGGGAGCCGATTCCATTAAGCCTTCTGTTATTTCCTCGTGTAGGAGAAATGAGCCATATCCAAGCAAAAGAACACCAGATACCTGTAGTATAACGGTAATATAGCGGGAATTTTGCAACTTACGTATATCGCATAGCCAAATATAATGAGAAAAAAACGGAAGAATCCTTGGAAATTCCTTTTCTGTGGCATCTCAAAAATAAACGAATGTGATAAAATGCATTCTCGCAAGAGCTCTTGTAGACGTAAGCATAATTATGTCAAGGCTGTAATTGGTTAACTCATGTATGACCTGACCTACAGTCCACCAATTGAAGTAGGCTACATGAATCGCACCATAGTCGCCTGATAGGTGTGAAAGGTATTCCATTAAATTTTTGTCATTGACACGGTTAACGGGTGATTCTAACTCTCGTTTTTCTTATGAAGTGGGTATACAAAGAAAGTAATTTAATGTCGCCTTGGTTGGTGATTTATGATAGAACCTACATCCCCACAGTAAATCAATTAAGCCAACTAATTAAAGTAAAAAAATTACAATACTGCAATACAATAAAAGCGTGCAAAGAAGGCTGGTGTGATAAAAATGCCTACACAAATTTAATCAATAAGTTTCAATAAAAAAGTGAAAGAAAACTCATAGGGAAGAAAACTGAGACCAACCCGAATGTAACTGATTCGTTTAACTATAAATGCTCAAATTTAAGACTGCAGAAAATAAATAGATAAGTTTTCCATCTTTTTAACGGAGAAAAAATGTCATTATAGTCTCAATTTTACCTTTCAATCGGATTGGACAATTCGATTACTGGATATAGTAATCCAGTGTATCTTGGAATGTTGTATTTATTTATTTATATCAAATGGCAGGTGTATTGATGGTTATCATTAGCCCTTTAGTTGACTTCAGCCTCACAGAGGGGAAGGAACATCAAAGTGAAAAAAAGTCGAAGTGGGGGGGAGGGGAAACAGAAGAGTGTTTCACAGATGTAAAGGAGACAGACTTAAAGGTAGGGAGAATAGGTGATGTGAGTACTGTGGAAGTAGTCGAATATGACATACAGTCAGGTCATGGTAGTTTGATTTCAGAGGTCAACTACCGGTTTAAAGACTTTTTCGCCGTATGAGAATATGTTGCCCGGGGTACACCACGTGGAGGTAGGTCTATCGTACACCCCTGTTAAAGATTTTATTTACTGATATTACAGTTGGGATATAGCAGAGGTTTTTGAATCGAGATCAATGCTGTTACGGATTGTTACACTAGTAAGCTTTGACTCGTGTTCCCCATAGTTTGCTATGGCTCCCTTGATTAGCTGCTACCTTACCTCAACAATATAGAGGAGACAGAAGTAAGGACAATGCCAGGTCTATTGATTGCTGATTGGCTGAAGAGTCTCTGTAGTTTTGACCTCATTTGTTCCCAAGAGAGATTGGCAACATCACCACGCGTTCCAGAATGTTCGGACGTTCAAGGGCTTTTTTGCTCCAGCCATTACAACGTTCTGTTCGTCACAAAGCTAAATATCATTATTGCGCTAAATTTACCTTTTTTATAATACTATTAAATAGAAATCCATCAACATTCAATAATAAGTATGTTTATAGTGCAATGTGGCCAACACTCAGTGCAATACATATCTTTAAATGTTAATTATAGAACTGTTTGAAATTCGATTATCTAAAGCCCATTATTAATTTATAATGCAAATTTGAACATGATAAATTGAATGTCTTCTGTTTAGAAAAATAAGACACTGTGATTGAGTCCCTAGCTATCTTGTCACATTCTTCGAACTAGCTTGTTTTGCTCAAATTTTTCCATTAATTTTATCAACTTGTATTTTTGAAAACTTGCCAATCAGCAGTAGTAAATGTGATTAGTGAACCTATTCGATGGTATGCATGCCAAATGCTTACTGAACACTACTCTAACATGGAAGTGAAAACCGCTTTCATTGAAATTGCCATGGGAAGAATAAGTAATATATATTAATATCTCATATTAATCAAAAGGTTTACCATTTCTAAAAATCAATCTGAGTTTCCAAGCGAATCCCCCAATAATGAATTTTGAATCCGTATTTACTTGACTTCATATCCAAATAAACAAAATTTTAACAGACATTAAAAACTATCGCCAAAATATGAATCCCAACATTTTGAGGGTGAAAATCTTATTGACGCCGTATATTTTAATGATAAAACGAGAAATATCTGTGCATTATTCGATTTTCAGGTAAGGATTTGCGTTTTCTCAAAAAATAAATATTCCTCGTTTTGATTTCTCTTCTTTATTTTAGTCAGTATAATGAAAATGTTGTATGCCGAATTAAACACTGTTTTTTAAAGTTAATAATGAATTAATATTCAAAGGTATGAATTGCATTCAATGAAACATTTGATTGCTCGAGATGTCTATGGTCAACTAAACAAACTTTAACCCCACCCCGTCTAGACTCCACCTTTCTATTAATTCAAACAAATCTCTTCCCTTGAAATCGAGACGCATTTACGTTAGTAGATTTTCCTCGCTGATAAATAAACTATTTCTATAGCTACTGCGCCTACAATCCCATTTCCAACTTAAGGTAGGAGATGTGGGGTCTCAGTGTTGGGAGAGGGAGAGGTGAGATTCCAATCGGGTCTTTTATCTACTTGTGTTTACTCTTCGACGGCGTATGTATTTTCAGAGTGGCCTAAATAATTTAGACTTTAAGAGAGTGAAGGGGGAGGAGGGAGGGGAGGG